CTAGGAAATGTCAAAAACAAAGCCAAAGCTAAATCAGATTACCTACCAATAAAATAGCGTTTACATCAGGGACAAGCAGGAGGTCTCTTAGGATCTGAAATCTAGGACTTTTTAGTGCTTGTGGATAGGCTGAGAAATGCTCTCACGTGCAATTCTGATAGAGAATTTTATTAAAATCCTTCATTTTGCTTCTACCCCCTACCTTGTCTACTAACTACTAAATCTACTCAGGAATTTAATTTTCATTTTCAAAGTCTCAAGAGGGTTAGAGCTCTGAAAACGACTTCAAAATATAGGTACTGCTCTTTTGTTTTTTATTTTTCCCCAGGAATAAGTAGATCAGCAAAGAAATGTTCTCAGTTTAGAAATCATAATCTAACATTCAAGACTCTACACTATATGGTCCTGACAAACCTTTCCTGTGATAGTCTGAATTACCCCCACTGGACTATAGGCAAAATGGACTATTCGTTAGTACTCAAGCATATTATTTGCTTTCTACCTCCTTACCTTTAATCATGCTGTTTTCGCTGCCTGAAATGACCTTTTTCCTATCTTGGCCAGTCTTCAAGGTCAACCTCAGATGCTACCTTTTTCACACATCTCTAACTCCCCATACCCTCTCCTCACCCTTCCCCACTTAGTGTGAAATATTCTGCACACTGAACTCCAGCAAAATAATTTGTACCCATATCATCTCTCTTTTGAATCTCTACGGCAGTCACTACTTTGTACATTGTTATAGTTACTTGTATAATATTTAGTGTTTATAACTCACTATTTGCGACCTACTGAAGGCATGGATCTATTAATCTTTATATCTTTGCCCAGTACAGTGCTTGCTAGAACACCACAGGGCTTTGTATTGTTGGTTCGTTTGTTTTAACAAATTGTATTATTCTGAGATTTAATTGACTCTCTGCCAATTTTGAGGAAATAGCTGCATGTTGAGGAAATTGCTCAAGAGAAGAGAAAATAAAAGATGTGACAAAATGTAACATTTAAGCATTTGAATTTCATCCAAAAAACAAATTACTCACTTGTACTTAGGAGTTTATTGACAATTTTTAAGCAGATAGATGTTTTTACATTAAATAATCACCAGCAATTCAAAATATAATACTCTCTCAAATAGGAAATTGAATTGTTCTATTCATATACATAGTACTCTATTTATAACATATTTAATTTTAATCTGTCATTTAGAATAAAAAATATTCACTAATAAATAAAATTACTAAAACAGTTGTGTTTAATTTTCAGTGAAATTTTTTTGTCCTGGACATTTTTGAGGACTAATAACTCAGATCATTAAACTATGTAAACTTGGCCCCATTATTTTCTTTAAATCTCAATTTTTACCCCTTAATTTTGATCTTAACATATAACCAAGAAAGACCTGAAATCACTTTTGAATTTGCCCAAAGGCCTAGTAATCTTTCTGTCATGAATTAAGCAGTTGTTATGTTAATAATATAGGAAAGCAAAGGATCTACACACATACAATCCTAACAGTTTAAATCAGTCTAGTAAACAAATGCAAAAAAACCTTAAATACAAAATTTTTCATCAAGTCACAATTCTTATTGTCAGTAAATGTTAGAATTTAATCAGATATAGAATGTGTTCTTTGCATTTTTATAACCATCTTTATTTCAATGTGGCATATGTTTTTGGCTGAATTTCTTATTCGATAAGGGGAGTGAGGGAGAGGGAACAAAAATAAATTGCATGACTATTACAAAGGCCTGCCAGTAGCCCATCCTACCTCTTAGAATGCATATAATAAAATCTGTCAACGAACGATGTTGACAATAATGTGCTTGTTACATGACAGCTACTATTATAAGTGCTTTTTATACGTTAACTCACTTAATCTTCACAATGACTCTTTGAAGTGCCATTGTTATCCCTGTATTACATCTGAGGAAACAACCCAACATCATACAGCCCGTAAGTAGTATAGCTAAGATTTGAACTCAGTGAACATGGCAATCCAGACATGGAACCACAGAACTACTATACAGCCTCTTACTGCATCCAACTCTTACAAACCAGAAGAATTTGCAAACCAACTTTCTATTGTTCTAGTACAAGAAAACAGGCACTTTGTAGGCACTATTAGGCAGCACATCCCAGTTTGGGATTCTGGAGAAACAAGGGTTTTGCATCTGCTCTACCTTCCTCCCTGCTACTTGCAGCAAGCATACTAGTATGAAAGAGAAGAGACTAATGCCTGACTGTCCTCCAGTCAGGGGCTAAGGTCTATTTCCATACTAGTTGCTCCCAATCCCGTTTCTTAGAGCCTGAGGTGAATACTATTCTCCCCGTTTTATTCAAAGGACTCTCTAAATGACCTAGTTAGTATCAGACACTTCTACACTTGCTACTCTTTATTTCCAAAGTTTAATCCCCATTAACATTGAATAAAGTTAAGTATTATGGAAAGAGGTCAAAACCGCTTTCCATAATTACCATACCTAGCCTGGGATTAAACTGGACTGGTTACATCCCTATTTTGAGCTAATTCTTGGGGTCCCTGCTTCTGTCTCCTACCAATGGGCTAGGTTCACCTTCATTCTGGCTGCAGTAAGAGGCTGTATAGACACTGACAATGATGGCTTCTAACTATTTTATTGATTCAGTTTATAAAGCCCTGATATAACAAATTATGCATTCTAAAAGAGTTGTCAATAAAATTATGGAATGCACAATGATACAGTTTGACCCAAACTTTTATTCTTCTAATACTAAGAAATTTACATGAGGAAAAAAAGAGTTATATGTAACTCATCCTAGGATTCATCAGTTTATAGATTAAATTAAAACTGATTGTAGCATACCACTTATGAAAAGTCAATTCAAAATGTGAGCACAGTTCATTGCATACATTTTCTCATAATCTCCCAGAAAGCAGGAAATGACTTTTTCCTTTCTCTATTCCTTACAACACCAAATATAGTATTGTGCAAATGATCAGCTCTCACATACTGTTTATAGAATTGAAGAATTACTCAAATAGTTGTTTACAGACAGCCTACCTTTAGAAACTTTTATGATGTATAATGAAATGCATGTGTAAAATAGTACAGACATGCAACTTTTGTAAAAAGATGACCAATCATTACTGGGCAGGTTTACAATCAATTTTATCATTCAAAAGGTCAAGATCATCTTGCCACATAGGAAGAAAAGTTGACCTTATATTTAAATGTCTGCTGCATTTAACCAGTCTTTACTTTTTAATGGAATGTATTTTTGACATAGTAACAGGGAAATTTCTCTCTGATTTGTAAAAGAAAGAACAATTCTAAGGCACTAATTCTTTCACCTTACAAAATTATTGAAATATTCTCATTTGAGTGCCACTAAAGGAAAGTAACCAAAAATCTTTATGGTTTGGTTCTTTAGAAAGGTCACAATCACAGTGAAAAATAGTAGAATGCTGTGAAACCAATATCTAGAGGAATCCAAAAGCAATGCCAAGAAACAGAATGTACTCATGGTGACTAATACATGCAAATACTGGAAATAAATTCTAACAGATTAAACAGGTTTTGTAGCAACTAAAAGGTATATTCAAATCATTCCAAAATTAATCAAGCTTAAGAATATGGCAATCTTCCCTATTAATAAGAATATAAGCTGGTTAAGTAGCCTGAATAACATACAAATTATAGCCAATATCAGTAGGTAGAATTTTTTCTATGTGTTTTTAATTAAAAAGGAGAAACCCCTTAACTGAATCAATTCAGTTTCAGACTTCCTTAAAAACATTCTTTTTTAAATCTATGTCATTTCACCCTGATGAGGCATTAAATCATAATCATGCTATAGAATCATGAAGACAAAACTATCTTTCTGTTGAGGAATGCTACATCATTTTTGTCTCTTTTTGATCATTTAATGTGAAGTATCTGACAAGTGCTCTAAAATTGAGGCAGAAATATGTGTAACACCAAAAAAATACATATTTCCTTCAAAATCTGAATGTCAAACATAGGTAGTTTCTTACCCGAGTATGTAATTCCGAGGATATGCTATAATAAACCAAAGTTAAATGCATTGTAACCTGAGAGGTAAAAATAGTTTAAAATAAATACAAGAGTTTCAGTACAAAATTGATATATAAATTCAAATCCTTTGCTGTGATGATTCTCTATTCTTTGTAGTTAACATGTTTAACATAGTCAAGTCTTTTCAGTTTGAAAATGAAAGTAAGTAAATGCCAAAGCTCTCCGGGTCAAAAATCTTCAATAACCTTAAATGCTACGAGCTTTCTTTGTGGAAAAACAGATTTATAATCTGCTTTCATCTATGAGCAATGCTTTAGCAGCTATCTACAGTAAAAGCACTAAGGACATAAGTGTTTCAGTAGATCTGAAAAATGATTAAAACCAGTGCCTTTTAAAACAGCTCAGATATTGCAATACAAATTTCAGGAAATTAGCTTATAGTCCAGATGCTGATAAAATGAATCTATTCACCAAACTTTTATTGCTGTGTGGCATACTACAATGGTAGCAGCATTGATCTGTATACTTAAGAACTTCCAGATAATAAAAAATATTTGTAATATATCATGATTTGTAAGCAGCTAGTTATTATATACTCTTATCAGTTTGATCAATTTATGCTATTTTTATCACTTCAAGTAAAAGATGTAAAGTGATTCTATTCAGGCTGAATCTGGAAAAATCTGAAGAGCTCCAAACCTTACTTTTATTCACATCCAAAAAATCTCTTCCTTTACCCCTCACTTCCCAAAAAAAGCTAACATAAACACAAACACAGCCATGCACACACACACATACACACACATTTCTAAAATTCAGATTGTTTAGCTGCTGTCCATTACTATAAATATTACTTGTTCAAATATCCTAAGGAAAATCTGACAATAAACAATTACATTAATGAATATATTCTAAATGAGTAAGAACTAGAAAAGACAACAACCCTACATTCTAATAGTATCATCATAATTCACGAGGTCATACCTGATGACTTAGAGATTGAAAAGGCTCATATGTTCCAGACCGCAAGACTTTTCTATTTCCAGAAACCCCTAAAGATTGCATTTCCTGTCTTAAAGAAAGGTAATCACAGCCATCTCTATCTCTCAGCATCTTCAGGGCTAGTGAAGAAAATATCAAACAGCAAATCTGTCCGCCAGTATCTGTTTAAGCCATCATCAAGATATCAGATCTCATATACTGTTTATCATCTCCTCTATGTAGTTACAAACATCCCGTACTAAGAGAGACTGACACAGTTGTATTTGCTGATGCTGCTAATGCTGTCTGAAAACAGTAAGCTTACTGCTTAGAGCAATTCTGCATCATCCAAACAGAAAATAAGCCACATCCTTCAGGTTTTCCATTTCTGCTACTATAAAGATTTCACTTGCCATGGAGAGTTTGATATTTTTTTCAGTCCTTTAAAAATAAACAATGCTCTATTTAATTAAGTTTCTGACGTGTCTGTTGCAAATATCGTGTTAAAATGTAAATTCTTAATTATTAGGCAGCTTTCTCAATGTATGACTAAGCTTTAAGCTTTATGTTTGACAAGCAAAATTATACTCTCTTAAAGGAATCTTCCCTCTAAACTGCATGTATTATCACTTATCCAGCCCATCATAATTACAAGTGCCTAAAAATGAAGGATTTTTATTCTGTCAATATTTGATAATTGTGTATTACAGTAAATAGATACGTAAATGCATATTCACTTTTTAATTTTCAGGAACTTCACTTGTATTTAAGATTCTTCAGACTAACATACCTTTTTTATTTGTGCTTAATATATTCTTCTAAAGAGTTTAACATGCAAAAGATAATGTGCTATTATCAAATTCCAAGATTGCCTGGTTAAACCTAGGAATGAAATCTATGTAAGTTATTGGCATTTTTATTATGAATTTTCACTGTCTCATTCATCAAGATTCTAGCAATGCTTTCTTTTATCACAACATAACAGAATCAGAAAATTTTAAGATTGATTAGCAGTCTGATGATAGAGAATCAATATTCTGTAAAATTATAGTTGGAAATGCTTTCTCTTTATCATGTGGCGAAAGGTTATATTTTAGGAATGAAGAAAACAAAAACCAAAAACAGACTAAGATAATAGTCAATTTAACTAAATTCAAAATTAGGACATCAAGTACAACATATACTACTCTAAAACAGCCCTCATGGTTATATACAGTCTGAATTAATGACACTAAAAACACTTTCTTCATATGCCTGTGAAATAAACTAATTGGTATTTGATAATAGCTAAAGTGCTATGCAGAAAATGTTTTAGATAAATAACAATAATAAATCAATATAATTTCCCTTCTCCCCCTCACAATATTTAATGAGTATGATATGTATTATCCTGGAGATTAGTCACAATGAATCTTAACAAATTGGGCTTCTTTTTTTTTTTTTTTTTTATTCCAGGCTTTTGTGAGGGTACAAACATTATGGTTACACTTTATGTCTTTGCCTCACCCAAGTGCAGGTTAAAGGCATGCCCTTCCCCCCCTACAATGCTCCCCGTGTCCTTTAGTTGTGGATGTACCCCCCCATTCCCCTAATCCCTAGAGAGTATTTCTGCCATGTGATCACCCTAGTGTTGATCAGTTAGTACCAATTTGATGGCGAGTACAAATGAATCCCATTCTTCTGCTCTTGTGGTGGATAATGGGCTTAAATTTAATCCAGGAAAGTATAAGAGGTTCTAGATCATTGTCATTTCTTATGATTGAGTAATATTCCATTGTAAACATATACCAAATTTTAATAATCCACTCATGGATTGACGGTCACTTGGGTTGTTTCCATATCCTTGCAATAGTGAATTGTGCTGCCATAAACGACTGATCCACACTATCCCTTTACAGAAATTACTGCCTCTAACTGTATAGGTTCAGACATAGGGCTTGGTATTTTGGCTATATGCATACAATGACACACCTGGATGAAAAATCACATGTAGACAAATATGATTTAGTTATGCAGTATTTATCCTCTTATCGTAATCAAAATAGGTACTCATTCTTCAAGACCTCTCTCTCAATGAGGACGTCATAAGCCACACCATCTCTCCTTATATATTCATTCTTTCGTGTAGAAATATCCAGCATCTGCTATGCGTCAGGTACTGTATAGGTGCTGGGGACTCCATAACAAACACCAGAAAACTTGCTATCACAGAAAGTAAATAATTAAACAAGTATGTTTTGTTATGATTGAAAAATTAAAAAGGAGATATGAAAGAAATAGCAGGGCATCCTACCCTAACCTAGATATTGGAAAGGATCTCTCTAGAAAAGTACTGTAAAAACTATGAAGATCCTGAGCAAGTCACATTCAAGGAATAATAAATACAGCACGGTTTAGACCACAAAGTGTGAGAACACAGGGGAGAGATGAGAAGCCGAGGCCCAATTATGGTAAGCCTCGGGAGCCATTTAAAGAGTTCGAGCTTTATCCTTAGTGGGATGAGAAGCCATAAATATAACCAGTTTTGTTGTTTTAGATTATCCTGGTTACAGCAATTGGACAGCAATTGAGTAAAGCAAAACTGAAGGAAGAGAGACAAGATTAGGAGGATGTTACATATTTTTGATCAGAGGATGATGATGGCTTGAACCAAAGAGGAGGCAGTGGGAACGGAAAGAAATGAGTAGATTCCCGATACACATCTTAGTGAAAAGGCATTGAATGTGAGAAATGAGGGAAAGAGAAATGTCACAGTTTGTTCCTAATCTCCCACACTGTTACGGATCTCATTTTACAAGCAATATACTTGCATCACATGCTCTGGTCTTTATTTGTCCATTTCATGTGCATATGTTTACTTTTTATAAACTAGCTACAAAATCTTGCGAAAGAATATTTGCTTTGTATTCTTTCTGTGTTCTCTTATAACGTATATATTAGGAACAATCAAAGTTATTAAATGAATAAATGGGAAATAAGAAAATTGAATTTTCTTTCAGATATTTTGTCACAGCATGAATACAAACTTTGTTTTTACTCTCTGGATGTTATTAATTAGCATATATAATATAATTTTCCACAGTGTTTTCTTGCAAACACATTTAATTGATTGTTGCAATAAAAACAACAAACCAAGAGTGCAAAGAAGCTCTTAACGTCTCTATTATCTAGTTCTGCAGACCCCAACCCCCAGGCTGTGGACTAGTACCTGTCCGTGGCCTGTTAGTAACTGAGCCATACAGAGGAGTTGAGTGGTGGGCAAATTGCTAGCATCACCGCATAAGCTCCGTCTCCTGTCTTATCAGTGGTGGCATTAGATTCTCTTAGGAGTGCGAACCCTACTGTAAATTGCGCATGCGAGGGATCTAGGTTGCGCTCTCCTCATGGGATTCTAATGCCTGACGACGATCTCAAGTGGAGCTGAGGTGGTGATGCTAGTGCTGGGGAGTGGCTGCGAATACAGATTATCATTAGCAGAGAGGTTTGACTGCACAATAAATGTAATGTGCTTGAATCATCCTAAAACCACCCACCACCTCCCCACTCCCGGTCTGTGGAAAAACTGTCTTCCATGAAACCATTCCCTGGTGCCAAGAATGTTGGAGAGAGTTGATCTAGTTGATAAAATCTGTTTAAACTAAAAAATTATTTATTTACAATCTACTTAATAGATTATACCCACTTAATAGTAATTTAACATGACTAACCAATTAAAACTACAAGACACCTATTTTTCAGATAATTATTGCTCTGTAAAAAATTATTTATTCATACAATATTCTACTCATGCCAGTGTTATTAAGGTATGTTCGACAAAGCAGAATATCTCTATATTTTTTCTAACAAGTCTGTCTAACAAATGCTTGATTAAAGCGATGGAGAGTAGCCCAAACCTAGCAGAAGAACATGCTTGGAATGAATGGAGAGAGAGACAAAAGGGTGTGTCTTAGTCCATTCAGGCTGCTATAACATAATGCCACAGACTGGGTAGCTTATCAACATCAGGAATTTATTTCTCACATCTCTGGAGGCTGAGAAGTCCAAGTTCCAGGTGCCAGCAGATTTGGTGTCTGGTGAGGGTTATTTTCTCACTATAACTCCTATGACAGAAAAAAAGGGCAAGACAACTCTTTGGGGCCTCTCTTATAACAGCACTAATTCTATTCATGAGAGCTATGTCCTCTTGATCTAATCACCTCCCAATGCCTCAACTAAGTATATTAGTGATAGGTTTTCAGCATATGAACTTTGGGGGGACAAAAACATTCAAACCATAGCAGGGCAAAAAGCACCAATTGAGGGCAATTTTGTCTATTTAATAATTTGTGGAACATCATAACATCCCAAATAATAAAGGATTGCATTTTAAGAAGAGTAAGAACTTTATAATAATTACTACATGTTTAGTGCTCACTTTTCATCTGTCAGGGACCTTGTGATCCAATGCCCTCATTTTACAGATGAAGTAACTAAAATTTAGAGAAGTTAAGTGACATGCTCAAGGTCAGATAGTAGCAAAGCCAAACCCAGAATTCAGAATTCCTGTTTCCTAGTTTTCCCCTATATAAATCACTGTCTTTTAATTATGTTTTTGTAAAAATAAGCTATCTTCAGTAATTAAAATAACATTCATCTTAATATTGTTTTCTATATTTGTTAGGTTGGGAAACATAGTAAATACTTTAGAAAAAAATTCTATAAGAATCACAAGTTTTCTATATTAAAGTTCATTTTTATCAAAGTATTTACCTTTTATTTGTATTAAAAAAATGACTTACTTCAGAGAATACCTCTGAAAATACAAGTAATTCATTTTGTTTTATATACTACTGTTTTAAAAAGTATAAATTAGTTCAACTTTTCTAAATAAGTTGGTAAAATGTATTAAGATTCTTAAAAACATTCAATCCTATTTCCAGTTTGGAGAATCTGTCTGAAGGCAATAGCGCAGATTAAGATTTATGCTCAAAGATGTTTGATGCAACATTATTTAGAAGAGAAAAAGTAGAAATAAGAGAAAGATTAAATTATGGTACACTGAAAGTGTAATGCCATGTAACCATTGACTATTATGAACAAAAGATGTCAATGACAAAGGAAAATACACATTACAACAGAACATTAAATGGAAAATAAGATG